GCTGGGGGATTGAACCGGGGTCCCTGTGCTTTGCTAAGCTTGTTCTAAGTAGGTGCTTTAAACCACTGAGCCATCTCACCAGCCCTATACTATGCATTTTAATCCCTTACATAAAATTCAAGATAAGAAGTACTATTATTCCCATTTTATAGATGAAGATGACACATTAAAGAACTGTCACTTTTCTAAGATTATAAAGTAGAAACACCAAGGAAGAATAATTTTTAAAGTTAATATGATATCAAGGGAACTTTTTGATTAGCTCAGATATAGAAAGGAGAACACATATATAATGCTGAAGAAAATAGCACAGATTTTTCAGAAATCAGACAATAGTTTCTTATACATAACATCAAAGCAACAAGACAAAAGCAGAAAAATAACTCATCTTCAAAATTTAAAACTTTCTCACATGCCACGGCAGTCCCACCCTCAGGGCAGGCTGAGCTGGCCAAATAGAAAAAAAAAAATTTAATTTAAAACTTTTATAATTTTTGATGGTATCAAGAAAGTGAAAAGACAACCCACATGAAGTACATGTAGTTTATGTATGTAAACTAAGAATTGTTACAACTCAATAATAAGAAATAACTCAATTAGGGGCTAGGGAAATAGCTCAGGGGTCTAAGCACCTGCTTGGCAAGTGCAAGGACCCAAATTCAATCCCAGGAACCCTGGGAACACAGTGCTGGCCCAAAATGTGGTGTCATACACCTTTAATCCCAGTGCTGGGGAGGCCGAGACAGGAGGATCAATATGAGTCTGAACTGCATAGTGGGACCCTGTATTCAATAAATAATTTTTTTAAAAAAGAATACAATTGGGGGTGGGGAGATGGCTTAGTGGAATAAGCACGTCCCTGGCAAGTGCAAGGGCCTGAGTTCAATCCCCGGTTTGGAAAAAAAAAAAAATTAAAATCTATGTGAAGAAAAAAAAAAATCTATGTAAAGACTTTGTGTTGGTGTTTGTTTGTTTGTTTGTTTGTTTGTTTGGACAGGTCTCACTATGTAGTGCAGGCTGACCTTGAACTCACTTATATAGCCCAGTTTGGCCTCAAATTCATGATGATCCTCCTGCTGCACCCTCCAGACTTCTGGGATTATATATGTGCACCACCACTCCCAGCTGAAGCTTCTAGATAGAAACTTCTCAAAAATATATATAACTAACCAATAGGCACATGAAAAGATACCAACATCACTAAACAATAGGGACCACAAGTCAAAATCACAATAAGATGCCCCTTTATTCCCAGTTGGATGGCTACAAATAAGAAGAGAGACTATAGTAAATGATGAGGATATGGAAAAATATATCCCCCTACACTACTAATGGAATGTAAAATGGTAGTACAGTCTCCATATGACTCAGCCCTTAGGTATATAGCCATCTCTGCTTAGATGTATAATCAAGAGAAACAAGTACACATGTCAGGTCAGGAAGATAGCTCAGTGGCATAAGCACCTGCCTGGCAAGCACAAGGTCCTGTGTTCAACTCCCCGTACTTTAAAAAAAAAAAAGGAAAAAATGTTGGACAGTAATGTTCATAAAATGTCAGGGGCGAGAGAGATAGCTCAGTAGAATAAGCGCTTGCCTGGTAAGTGCAAGGGGCTGAGTTCAATCCCTGGTTCCGCAAAGAAAAAAAAAAAAAGTAGAAATGTCCACCAACTAGTGAGTGGATTAATAAATATATTCATACAATTAGCAATAAAAAGGGAAAAGTACATGTATTCTATAACACTGATGAACCTTAAACACATGGTAAGTGTTAGAAGTCAGTCACAAAAGACCACATATTGTATGATACCATTCATCAGTAATCTGAAAATAGGCAAATCTATACAGCTAGAAACTAGGTTAGTGGTTGCCCGGAGCTAGGAGGTTGACTTGGAAAGGAAAAGGAGTTTAATAACAGAAATGGGGTTTTGGGGGTAACAAAAACATTTTAAAGCTTTACCATAGTGATGGTTGTCCAACAGTGTGAATACACTAAAAATTATTAAATTTTACGTTTAAAAAGGATGAATAATACAGGATACAATTTAGATCTTAGATCTTGCCAAAAAGGATGAAGTCTGGGGAAAAAAATGTACTTTGCTGGAATTCA